CCCCAAGCAGCTGGGACCATAGGCGCATGCTGCCACATCTGGCTAATTATTTTTTTGTTAAAACAAGGTCTTGCTATGCTGCCTAGACTGGTCTCAAACTCCTGGGTTCAAGCAGTTTCCTGCCTCGGCTTCCCAAAGTGCTGGGATTATAGGTGTGAATAACTGCACCTGGCCTAAAAGTGAAATAAATTAAGGTATTCCTAACACTAGCCAGGTGTGGTGGCTCATGCCTATAATACCGGCACTTTGGGAGGCCAGGGTGGGAGGACTGCTTGAGCCCAAGGGTTCAAGACCAGCCTAAGCAACACAGCAAGACCCTTTCTCTCTCTCTACACACACACACACACACACACAAATTAATTTTACTTTCCTTTATATGTGCATAAAAATGATGTAAGAAAAATCAATGATATGTCTAAAATGCTTTCAGTAAGCACAAGGTAGAATTGTAAGTGATAAAGCATAGTGTCATAGCTTAATTGGCAGCATTTTTTCTATATGGTGCACAGTTTCTGTTTCAAAACAGGAAACCATTGTACACACACATATATACCCCAACTAAACTTAATCTGTATAACTACTGGTATAAGTCAATAACTAAGAAATCTGCCTCTCTGTATGACTAGGAATTTCTATTTGTGTAGGTAGGTAGAGAGATAAGTTTCTCTCTACAGTGTACAGTGGTGTGTCTTAATATCAATGGAATCTTAAAGTCAATGAAATACCATATCTTGAGTTTAAAATCTACCACTGAGGCCGGGCACGGTGGCTCATGCCTATAATCCCAGCACCTTGGGAGACCGAGGTAAGAGGATTGCCTGAACCCACAGATTCGAGACCAATCTGAGCAACTTGGTGAGACTTCATCTCTACAATAAATTAAAAAATTAGCCAGGCATGGTGGCACATGCTTGTAGGTCCACCTACCTGGTAAGCTGAGGCAGAAGGATCACCCGAGCCCAGTAATTTGAGGCTGCAGTGGCCGTGAGCATGCCACTGTACTCCAGCCTGGGTGACAGACTGAGACTCCAACTCAAAAAATTTAAAGAAAGAAATAAAAATAAAGTAAAATCTACCACTGTCTTTGAGGCTTCCTATATATCTTACCTCTTTAATATTTATCTCCTCTCCTCTCTTGTCTTCTATTTTGTTTTTGATTGATGGAAAGTGTTGTTAATATACTTTTTCCTCTCTACCAGGTTCTAATCTGTTTCTACTGTTTAAATGTCTAGAAGAACATTTAAACATTTACTCTACTCCTTAATAAGGTCTCAATAAATGTCAACTGCCATCATAACAAAAGAAGTAGAAAGTGTTCTAGCACATTAGGTAGAAAAGTAATGGCACAAAAATCTCTAAAGACCAAGACAATGTTCAACATATCTATGTTTGAGGAAAAACAGCAACTTCACTGGGTAGATAGATTTTAATAAACAGGAAAATACAAATATCTAAACAAAAGAAAGAGAGATGAGTGATAAGGGAGGCAATGGGAAAAAAGAAAAAGGGAGGAGGAGAACTAACCTACTTTTCTCTAATTTTCTTCCATTACCAGGTAAGAATGGTTGCTCCTTTCCTGTGTCACCCTCTTCTTTCTTAGAAAAGATATAAAAAAAAGAAAGATACAAATCTACAGAGGAGACACTGGGCTGAGCAAGGCTGGAACAGTAGACTGATCCAAACAACCAGGAGAGGCTGATAATTCACTCCCTAAAGTAGGATGACATGAAATTCAACATCACACAGTCTCCACGGGACTGAATGGGAGGCAGGGATCCCAAAGACATCGGAGCCTCGGGCAAAATTACAAAGGAAGCAGAGTTCTTTTTTTTTAGTTGGAGCCCCACACTGTCATCCAGGCTGGACTGCAGTGGCACCCTCACAGCCACCGCAGCCTTGACCAGCTGGGCTCAGGTGATCCTTCCGCCTCAGCCTTCCAAGTAGCTGGAACTATAGGCACACACCACCATGCCCAGCATTTTTTGATTTATTGTAGAGACGAGGTCTTGCCAATTTGCCTAGGCTGGTCTCAAGCCCACGTGCTCAAGCAATCCTCTCACCTCGACCTCCCGAAGTGCTGGAATTACAGACCTGAGCCACTGCGCCTGGCAGGAAGCAGAGCTCTTAAGCTTCCCCTAGTATTCAGGAGATACAACATAATTTCTCCAAATTTCCAAGTCCTAAAAGAAAGCTTATCTCTCTTCCCATCTACACCAAATCAAAATTCATACAGAGAGGCAGATTTCTTAGCTACTGAGTTATACCAGGAGTTAAATAGATTAAGTTTACTCAGGGTGTAAGTGTGTGTACGATGGTTTCCTGTGTTTTGTTTTGTTTTGTTTTGAGTTGGAGTCTCACTCTGTCACCCAGACTGGAGTGCA